TAATAAATGTTTTCTGCCACATTCAGGGGTCTTCATCAGGTTAAGCATATACCAAGGTTTGATTTAGAGTATGCTTAACCTAATGTAATCCCCAATGTGGCCAAAAATGCTTATTAAACAACTACTGCTGGAAAGTGTGAAGGTGGTGTGATTTTTCTGTGTTAATGTTTTATTTTATTGTTATAGGGATATTTTAAATTATGTTTAATTAAATATTTTGAAAATTTGAAAATAATGTAATTTATTATATAAAAATAACTCATACAGTTCAGATATTAATCAGAAAAGATAATGTTTATCAACTGTCTTCTAATAACTGTAATTGTAACTAACTTTGGTACATCCCTCAACAAAAAAATCTTGAATTCCAGCAATAAGTTTTAATAAAAATGTAAAACTTGAATCAATAAAAGTTTAATTTTATGTTTTTATTAAAACTTTTACTTGAATTTCAAGGTTTTTTTTTGGTTGAGCAATGTGACAATGGTTACCATCAAACCAACAATCTTTAACAACAGCATAAATGAGATTAAATCTGCATTCAGTGGGATATTTATGGAGTAATTCATTACAAACTGCTAAATGAAAATAAAACTATATTAGCATCTATTCCCTGTCAACAAATGGTCACAAGCAAGAATGAAAAAAAAAATAAAAGCTACTGAAAAGTAGGTGTGGCTACAATTTTATGTCAAGAAATGACAATTCAAAATGTGCACACAGTGTATCAGACTGATCAGATGTGCATGACAAAAGGTTAATTAATGTAAGTTTTGTTCTTCAAAATTTTTAAAAAAAATATATTACTTATCAAATGACTCAATACATCAAAAGTATAATTTAATTTTTCATTGTTAATCAAAAGTTAAATTATAATTTGTTTAATAATTAAATTTTATTTACAAAACAGCTTCTTTACATATCTCCAGAGATAAATTCATTTAAATCTGTATTTTTATTTATTATTATACTGAAACAATTTTATCCAAATAAAATAAGCATAAACTTTAATATAAATTTTATAATTCACTAAACAAAATAAACAACATTATGTGAAATACTTTTTGTTTTAACAATATTTGATTATTTTAGGAAATTAATGAGCAAATTTAAGATGAAAAGTAATACAGATAACCCTTGATATATGCAGTTAATTGGTTCTGCAAATATACTGCATACCAGGTATGGACCAAAACTGCACATGTCAAAGTTAACAATCAGTTGGAAGTAAGTTAAGTTAATTTGTGAATTAGCTGATTAACAATTCATCTAAAATCATAATTTTTACATTTATATTTGCTTGGGTGAAGTAAAAACATAGGAAATAAAGAAACGTTTATTGAAGAATTATTAATTAATTAAAGATTTTAGATGAAGTGCAGTATAGTTACATATGAAAATGAAAACAAATCATAGAAAATAATATTAAAGTTTGATTATAGAGAGTTTAGACTAACCACTAAAAGTAGCAAAAAAAAAAAACTACTATATGAAGTAAGAAAATTTTAAAATTCAAGTAAAATATTTATCATTTCCTTCACAGTTGTTATTTTCTTTTTTTCATAGAGTTTCATGTAAAAACTGAAGAATTAAAACAAAATATTTGAAGAAATTATGATGAATGTGAAAATAGAAATTAAACTGTCTGAATAAGAGTATTGCACTAGGAAAACTAAAGTTTGCTTTTTCCTACTAAAAGCAAGCAGGATTCAGGACCTGCAAGAGGGTATTTTTCCCTGGGTCTGGAGAAAATTCAGAGACCCATAGTTGTTTCTATTCCTATAAATTAATGTTATTTTTACTAACAAAAAAATAAAATCTTAAAATTGTTATTTATTAATAAAGAAACACTATTCATTTCATTTGTTCAAAAAATAAAAGGGGGAAACCTTCATAGTGAAGAGAAGGGATCAGTTCAGTGTTACCAGCTATGAGCTCTGTCAAGCTGGCAATGTGAACTTCATGTAGAACATAATTGAAACTAGTACTGATAAAAACTGCATATATCAAATTTTACTCTACTGTTATAACATTTGAAAATAAGAATCATTACAATTTCAGATAACAATAAAATTTCCATTACTTTTCTAATGAGCTACAATTATAACTTTTCATATCAGTTAAAATTGTTTAAATTATTAAAAAGTTAAATCAAAACAACACACTAACACATTATATTTGCATTAAGAAATATTGTTATACTCGTATTGTTAATACCTTTCTAAGAGTCTTATTAGCATCTTTTATCTTTTCTAAATATAACTGTATTTTCCCAATTCTAAACAGCTGTATTCCTAGACAAGGATGACAATCGCTGTAATAATACCTTTAAAAATAGCAATATTTTTAAACAGTTATAAAATAAAATTATTAATATAAAATATTGACTAAATATTAATGAATATATAATAAACAAATATACCACTGTAATTTTATAATTTTATATGGCTAATCCATAGTAACATATAACCCATAATAGTTTATATCCCATAGAAAATTGCAAATGCATATTAAATTATAATCAAAAGATATTCAAAAAATTAAACTGACATGAAAAAGTTTTATTTAAATTATAAAAAAGTATTAAAAATAACTGACAACTAAAAATTCTTGTATTCTAACAAATGACTATAGCACACACAATACTAAATACTACAGTCCAGAGATGGCAAATCTATGGTACCACAACATCACAAGATTTCATTTATTTTTTTCTGTATAATATTCAGAATAATGATTATTAATCATTAATACTTTGATGAGTATTCCTGTAAATATACATGATATATATGGTGGGCTCTACAAAGTAAGCATGTATATATGTTATGGACAAAGTGATTAATTAATTGGGCATTATGAATAATGACCAAATAGGGCAGGCAGTGTGATAAATATTAATTATTTTGTCAAATTGACCGGTCATTATGAATACTGCTATCACCTAGTCGAGCAAAGTGATAATAATAAGTTGAGGAGTGATCATCCGACATACGCTAGCCAATTGGCACTCTGAGTTGCGTGTGCATATCGTGTTTAGTACAGAATTTTAAATTTGATTAAAAAAAACTCCACTTATTTCATTTAGAAATATTTATTTTTTGTAAATTATATCAAACTACTATTAACTATATTAATTAAATTAATATTACCGAAAAGTATTATTAACAATTTTTGGTATAAATTATATAAAAAATTAAATGTTTTTTAGTTTATTTATTTGAGCAATTAAGATTTTCATGACATTTGGAATTACAGAATTTTTTTTATTTGGTAGCAGTTGCATCTATCAGATTTTCAACCAATTTTTCAGCAGCATTAACTATAGTTGTGGCCTTCAGAAATTGATGACATTCTTGCACATTCTCTAAGCGAAATTTCTGCACCCGGTACATCTCCAACAGAAAT